TACAGTATTTGTCCTTCTGTGATTGACTCATTTCACTCAGGGTACTCCCCTCCAGATTCATCCATGTTGTGAGATTCTTCACAGATTCATCTCTGTTCTTTATCATTGCGTAGTATTACTTTGTGTGTATATACCGTAGTTTGTTTATCCATTTATCTGTTGGTGGACTCTTAGGTTGTTTCCATCGTTTTGCTATTGTGAATAATGCTGCAATTAACATGGGTGTGCATATGGCTGTTCCTGTGAGGGCTCTTATTTCTCTAGGTTGTATTCCTAGGTGTGGGATTGGGCTGGATCCTCTGGTATTTCTATTTCTAGCCTTTTAAAGAAGCACCATATCATTTTCCAAAATAGTTGTCCCATTGTGCATTCCCATCAGCAGTGCATAAGAGTTCCAATCTCCCTGTAACCTCTCCAACATTTGTTATTTTCTTTTTTTTTTAAATTTGTGCCAGTAATGTCGGGATGAGATGGTATCTCACTGTAGTTTTGATTTGCATTTCTCTCATGGCTAGTGATTGCGAGCATATCCTCATGTGTCTGTTAGCCACCTGAATGTCTTCTTTGATGAGGTGTCTGTTCATATTCTTTCCCCAGTTTTTAACGGATTATTTGTCTTTTTGTGGTAGCGGTGTTGGATTTTCCTATAGATTTTAGAGATTAGACTTTCATCTGATACATCGTAGCTAATTTTTCCCCCAGTGTGTAGACTCTTTTTACTTTTTTGGTGAAGTCTTTGGATGAGCGTTCATGTTTAATTTTTAGAAGATCCCAGTTATCTAGCTTACCTTCTGGTGTTTGTGATTTCTTAAGTCATTTTTTTGTCCTGTTTATGCCATATATTAGAGCTTCTAGCGTCGACCCTGTTTTTTCTTCCATGATCTTTATAGTTTTTGTGTTATATTTAGGTCATTGATCCATTCTGAATTAGTTTTTGTGGATAGTGTGAGGTATGGGTCCTGTTTAATATTTTACAGATGGACATCCAGTTTTGCCAGCACCGTTTGTTAAAAAGACTATCTTTTCCCCATTTAATGGACTTTGGGCCTTTGTCGAAGATCAGGTGACCATAGGTGGATGGATTTACATCTGGGTTCTCGATTCTGTTCCATTGGTCAATGTGTCTGTCATTGTACCAGTGCCAGGCCGTTTTGACTACCGTAGCTGTATAGCAGGTTCTGAGGTCAGGCAGTCCTCCTACTTGATTCTTTGTCTTCAGTAGTGCTTTATTTATCTGGGGCCTCTTTCCTCTCCAAGCTAATGATTAGTTTTTCCCTCTCTTTAAAGAATGCTGTTGGTATTTGGATTGGGATTGCATTGTATTTGTAGACTGCTTTGGGTAGAATTGACATTTTCACAATGTTGAGTCTACCTATGCATGAGCATGGTATGTTTTTCCATTTATGTAGGTCTCTTTTGCTTCCTTGTAGTAGTATTTTGTAGTTTTCTTTGTATAGGTCTTTTATATTTCTGGTAGATTTATTCCTAAGTATTTTATCTTTTTAGGGGCTATTATAAATGGTATTGTTTTCCTGATTTCCTTTTCATAGTTCTCTTTATTTGTGTATAGGAACCCAACTGAGTTTTGTATATTTAGCTTGTATCTTGCTACTTTGCTGAATCTTTCTATTAGTTCCAGTAGTTTTCTTGTGGAGTCTTTAGGGTTTTCTATGTATGGTATCATATCATCTGCAAATAGGGAGGGTTTTACTTCTTCCTTAACAATTTGGATGCCCTTTATTTCTTTTTCTTGCCTTATTGCTGTAGCTCGGACTTCCAGCACAATGTTAAATAGGAGTGTTGACCTAGGTTTTTTTGAGTGAGGAAAAGAAAATTTTATCGTGTTTAAGGAACTATTATTATTTTTACTGTCACACTCAGCCTGATCTAACCCTAATACACATTTAGTGGCAGAATGCAGGCATCCTGACTACAAGGGGTGGGGGGTGGGGTAGGGGTCGGGGGATGTGGAGCTTGAACCAAAAGTGTGGAGGCTTGAAAGGGAAGAGCGCCTTGGGTAACAGGTCAAGTCTCACTGAAGAGAATGGAGACAAGCTCTAAAAGAAAAAATCTCGAGTTTTGCTGAAGAGACCAGAGGTAAGATCAAAAAGGAAGAACTAGATTATATGAGCCCTCTAGGCTAGGTTAGCAACCTATAGGTCATCAGACAAGTAATTGAGCGGAATGATTGTAGCTTTTCTGTGCACATACTCTATAAGTGGGTTCACTCAACACCCATTCACATCACTTTCCCTCTGCCTTTCACTTCATAAAGGCTGGAGAGCAAAAACTCTCAAAGTCCTAGCTTCCTTGGCTGCAAGGGGTGGCTAAGTAACACAATCTGGACAATGGAATGTAGGCTGGAATTCCTGAGGAAGGCTTCCTTCTTGAGTAGAAAGACAAGGCTTCTCTAGAAGTCTTATGGCTTTTGCTCCTCCCCTTCTTTTTGCCTGGAATGTGGATATGATGCCTGGTGACATAGCAGCCACTTTGTGCCTTGGTATGAGGTCAGAAAGCACACACTAAAGACACAGCAGGGCAACAGAAGGAACCTGGTTCCTTGAGGACATCCTTGAGGCATCAGCCCTGGACTAACTTCCCTGGACTTGTGTAAGATAAAGTCCTTTTTAAGGCCACCATTTTTCAAGTTTCCTGTTACTTGGAGCTAAGCATATTCCTAACAGTTACAGTGAACACAGTCAGAAAGACTTGGATGAATCCCAGATCTTTCTCTCACTAGCTAAGTGAATAAGTCACTTAACTCTTCAAACTTGGCTTTCTCATCTGTAAAACGAAGGTAACCATAGCACCTACCTCAGGGGTGTTGTGAGGAGGAAAGATTCGGCATGTGAAACCATCATACAATGTTTGACATGAATACACTCAGTAAATGTTAGTGATTATTATTATGGAAGTTATCAGATGTATGTAATAATATGTGATTAAAAAATATTTTATTCTGTTTTTAAACCTTGAGCTTAGTTTCTGCATATATCCAAGTGAGGTTTTTGGTAAAATTGTGCCTTGTTGCCCCCTTGCAGTTTAATGCTGGGTCTAATGATACGTAAGGAGCCCTGGTGGCACAGAGGTTAAAGCACTTGGCTGCTAACTGAAAGGTCAGCAGTTGGAACCCACCAGCTGCTCAGTGGGAGAAAGATGTGGCAGTCTGCTCTCATGAAGATTTACAGCCTTGGAAACCCTATGGGGCAGTTCTACTACAGGGCTGCTATGAGTCAGAATCGACTGGACAGCAGTGGGTTTGGTTTTGGTTTGGTAATGATCTGTACTATCGACCTTGCTTTAATAACAATGCTCTTCTTTTGAATTTTGAAGATTTCGGAACAGACTTTTTATGAATATAGGCATTCTCTAATCAAGACTAACTCCAGTACTCCTTTCTTCCTCAATGCAGCTTTCTGCAGCCTCCCATGCTGACTCCAACAATAATGCTGACTGGAAAACCACCCAAGTCACATGGTATTGCGGATATTTGCTTACCCATCTGTACAGGCACCAGACTACATTCTTCAAGCTAGGCATCTATTGTCTTTCCCTCTGCAAGTTCCAAGAAGGCAGTGCCTTGTAGCGTCTAGACCAGTGACCAGCACACAGTAGATGCTCACTAAGTATGTGCTGAGCAGCAGGCTCTCAATAACATGTTTCCTATGAGCAATAATATTACAGTTTGTCTTCTCTAGTCCTGAATTTACTTTTTAAAAAATCTTATCTTATGGTGCTTTAGGTGAGAGTTTACCAAGAAAATTAGTTTCTCATTAAATGATCTACCCCTCTGAATTTACTTTCCAGGTCTTTTAAGTATCGTCTGCCCATACTACAGTTTTTTATACACTGTTGGTTTCCATTGCTAGCTTTATCATTGATCTTTCACAATCATCCATGATACTGAAACTCAGTTCATAAGTAACTTCTACTAGACTGGATACCTAACAGCTGATTACATTTTTAATGGCCTTAATTTTATCATTCAGGTGAATTTATCCAGTAACTTTGGGTTACTCTTTAATTCGGAAGAGGAGCAGATATTGAATGAATCAGACCCGCAGCTGTTACAGTGTGATGATGTTTGGGCAAGGCTGGAAAGGAGAAGCAAAACCAAGGGACAGGAGTGGGGTGGAGTGGAGCCCTAGTGAATTCCTGTGACAGTATGTTAGGCTAAGGGAAAATATCCAAACCAGAGATTTGGAATGATGGGTACCATGCAATCCATAATCTCTTCTTTAATGACTCTTCTTACCAAAGAGCCAAGGATGCCTTAAAATCACTTTAACTCTGTTCTATATAACCTTATGCAACTTACTGTTTTTTTTTTTTTGTGGTATTTCAGTTATATGATGCAAATAGTAAAATAGAGATACTCTCAAAAACCATACTTCTTAGTCTTTTATAGGGTCACAAATGCCCTGAGAATACAATAAAAGAAAGTATGGACCCTAGTATTCTGAAAAAATAAATCCACACACAAAAGTTCACATAAAATTTCAGAAGTTTTACAGACCTCATGAAGCCCACCCATGGATGCCCTCAGTATCTGTGGGGAGCCCAGTTTTAGGAAACTTTGATAGAAAATCTGGTGCTGTTTCCTCATGTCTAAAATGAAGGGGTAGAACCAATAATCTCTGAGGTTTTCAGCTGGGAGTGGGGTGGAGTGGAGAACGAAGTCTAGTAAGAAACCAACCAATTGAGAGTGCTTGTATAGGGTCTGTGCTGGGTGGGTAACAGAAAAGTGAGAAAGAACTTTTGTAGTTATGAAACCAAAAGGAAAAGTAGGAATTGAAGTTAATCACGCAGGCCCTGTTATTCTTTAATAATTTCCATCCAGAAAACATGCATATATTTTCATAGCAGAATCCTGAAACGCAGTGAGAGGAGAGCCAAACACACCCTGACCACACCACCAACAAACCAGTAACAACACACACAGCCGTGATTCAGAATTACTGATTAGCCATTTACTGAATGTACAAGCTGCTAAAAGAAGAGTTTACAATTTTGTTAATTAAATGATGCTTTATATTAATTTATGTATTATGCTTTGGAATTGCCTAAGTTATACGTGGATAACTTTACATTAATAAAAATGTATACACGAAGGAAATTTCCTTCAATAACTTTATTCCTTACAAAATATATAAATAAATACAGCTTTCAACTTCTAAAGTATTACCACATTCAAGAACAAGGCATTGCCATCACTGTTCTAAATTACAGGAACGAATGAATTTCTGATTCCATTGATCTTTAAATTCTAGTGGTGAAGTGAAAACTGAATGTGAAATTAAGTGGGACTGTGATGTCTTTGCCAGGGAGAGACACACAAAGCGGCAAACACGGCCGTTTCCAAACAAGGAGTGACGGCCCTGCGGACCAGTGACAGCAGAGGAGTTACTGGGTTTTGCATTCGGGCACGTCTTTTCCGGAAGAGGCGTGCCAAGGACCTGTCTGAGGGTCCACACTCTCTGCTCCCACTGTGTGTTCCTCTGAGAAAGAAAATAAAACCCAAAATTAATTCTATTTAAAAAATACACAAAAAAACAAGCATGGCTGGAAGGGGAAAAGATGTCAGACAGGAGAGAGATGAGGAGAGAAAAATGGCAGTGTGGTCATTAGTTTCATTGAGTGTGATCACTAAAATGGTGTATTTGACCTCAGAGTTTGAGAAGTTTATTCCCCATTCTCTTAGAAAATAAACTGTTAACATAAGTATTTAAAGGGAAAAAAGAAACCAAAGTCCTATTTTATAAGATGGTTGTAAAAAATAAACTCATTTGTGTTAGAAAACCATATTATACAAGAAGTAATAAAATCTTATTTGAAATCCATCAATTTGAGATTCAAAGTGAATCAAACATGGACTAATTTAGTTGAATTTTCTTTTACCCTATTTTTAGGGGCAAAAAATGGTATGCTAAACAAATAGCACGCAGATTAGAGAATATTCAGTCATCTTTGGAAAGCTTTCTTTGAGCCTTTAAAAAACATTTCAGCAAGATCTATTTATAAACAATGTTCATTTTTCAAGCTACTATTCTCATAGAAGTTAATCTTCCATAACTGGTCTTGGCAATTATCTTAATTTGTTGAGGTAATTTAGATTACTTTTTCTAATTAAAAGTAAACACTGCCATTAAAAATTTTCTAGACTAACATTCTTACTAATTTAAGCCGGGACTATCTCCTTTAATTCTGAATTGGTTGATTTTTGATTTATGGATTCCTCCAACCTACTCTTACATTTATTTCACCCCAAAATAGTGCCAGACAGATCCATATATTGGTAAAAAGATGTAGGCATTTTTATTTGCAGTTGGCATTAATTCATATTATGCATGTGCCTCTGCCAATATCGATAAAATCAAAGGTGATTTACATGGGTTTCTCAAAAGATTCCTCTAAAATAGCATGTGTGTGAGTCAGTGAGTGAGTGAGTGTGAGTGTGTGAGTGTGTGTGTGTGTGTAGCAAAAGTTCTGCATAAGGACCTAGACAATGGAAGTACTTAAATATTACAGTGAAAAGAGTAGTTCAAACATATTTCTTCCAGATGGTTTTGTGCCTTACTATATCCCTAAGAGCACTTTCAGACTGCCAAGGTGATGTGATTTCCACGTGTAGTTAATGAGAATGGATTGATTTCTTTTAAGTCACAAAGTTCTCATAAACCTTGGCAAGCTTAGTGTACAATTTTGTTCCTTTAGAATTCTGCACTTGCATAATAGCATATTTCTAATAGATAGAAACCCTGTAACAAAGGGCTCCGGCTGAATAAATAATTCTTGTTAAACAGGCTCAAGCCTGGGACCACGCCCACCTGGGCACACAGTAAACGTTTTGTGGTGAGAAAGGCTGCAAGGACCAAGAGGCTACCTAGCTTTCCCCGTAGTGCTCCCTGCCGCTGTGGACAGCACCCTGCAGAACTGGGGGTGATCCTGACACCTCTCACTCCTTCCCCACCATATTCAATCAGGCACTTAGCAGTGCCGATTTTACTCCCAAATGTCTCCATCTCTACTGCACCTGGCTGAGTCCAAGCTACCATCACGTCTTGCTTAGGTTAACTGCCAGAAACTCTTGCCCCTATTATTTGTGGGCTACCCTACAGCTGAGGTGATTTTCAAAATTTATAACTCATCATGTTACCCTGCCGGCTATTTAAAATCTTTCAAAGGCTTCCTCTAAATGCTCTCAGGATAAAGTAAAAATTCCTTTCTACAATCTAAGTCCTGCAGGTCTGGCTCTTATCTCCCTCTCTGGCCTCCATGACTCCACCCCACAAGGTTGTGCTCACTGTGCTGGGGTCACAACCCTTCCCCCGTCAGGCTCCCTCCTACCCCAGGCTGTCTCTGTTCCACCTGTCTGGAATGCTTTTCCCACCCCTCTTTGTTTAGCTAACTCTGGATTTCAGTTCCTTCTCAAGAAGACTTAATATTCCTAAAACAAATAACCTACTACTATATGTCCTCATAGCCTTTCACACCGCTAAAATTTTGCTTGTTTTTGACTATTTGGTTAAGGTCTGTATCTCCCATTAGAGCATCAGCTCTGCAAGGGCAGAGATAATGTCTGGTTTTGCTTATCAATGCATCATCAGTGTCTACGATCTGACCCACAGTAGGAGCTCAAAGGTATTTGCTGATTGAATGAATTAATAAGTGATACAAGTCTATAAGTTGGTTCATGTAAAATGAATATAATGCTATAGGTAATGCTGGCCCATTGAATTGATAAGAAAAGTTCCTTTAGTAAAATAGTTTATAAGGTAGTATCTTTCTTAAGAGAGCTGCTTTTCTGTTTTAGGGGAAGGCTGAGGGTTTCAGAGGCAGAATAAAGATTTCACTTGGAGTAAAAAGTGAGTGCACTCTGGAGCTGCACTGTGGACAAAGTGACTTTTCACAGAGGGACCGCAGATGCAGCCTGTGTACTACAACTTGCTCAAGTACTTCTTCTCTCGTTTAACTTGCCCTTTGGGGCCACATATTAGACAGGAGTTAAAATCTTGATCCAAGTAATCAATGTATTTACTTACCTGGGCAAAGGCCTAAACCTGAGTTATCAAAATAGCGAACTGGGTGAGCTGTTGGTAAAGATTTTGATCGGCTGTCAAAAAACCAGGATTTTGGCGATTCCTTCGGCACAGGATCTTGTAAATTGCGTTCCTTACACTGTGAAGGCGTATTCTGTCTATTTTTAGAAGGCGTTCCAGTCACTTTAGTAGACTTTGGGGAATTCTCACAAGTAACTCCTTTATGAGCTTCTCTCTTTAGGGTTCTTTCCTTCCATGTCTTGATCTCTTTAGAAAGACGATGATTGTTGCTTAAATGTAGAGGGAAAAAAGTAGACTGTAAGACAGCTCAATTCCTGAAATGGATTCACATTACATTTTAATTTCGACCTAATGCTTCTTGTTTGGACTCTTTCCACAGTTCAGTCAATGAAATGGGTCTACATGAATTGAAGAGTTGCAGTAAATCCCCCTGACGTGGAGTCTTGAAAAGAAAGCTTAGAATATGACAGTAAGTTTTCAGATGACTTAATGATATACAGAGTGGTTTATCTAACAATACTTTGCTATTATAATTTAATAAATTAATCTTTTAAATACATGGATTTTTGATGTATCTTTGTTATTTTTAAAGAAATACTGCATTGTGCTTTTCTAGATTAGATGGTTAGTCTTGCTTCTGACAGGACATGCCACCACCATTCATTCAGTTTCTCCTGACAGAAACCTGGGAAGCAATCCTAGAGTCCTCTCTCTCCTTAATTTCATCAATCAGCCAAGCCCGTCGATACAACCTCATGACTGTCTCCCAAATTCATCTCCTTATTTCTATCCCCATCAGCAAAATCTTTTGCCTGGACTATCATTAACAGCTTCCTAATTGGGGTCCCCCATAACATGCTAGCAGCCAAGATGCTATCTGGTCTCATCATGCCCCTGCCTAAAATCCTCCACTGGCTTCCCATTGCATTTAGGATGCTGTATGATTTCCTTGAACAAACAAATCTCTCCTGGAAGAAGTACAACCAGAATGCTCCTCAGAAGCAAGGATGGCAAGACTACGTCTCACATACTTTGGACATTTTATCAGGAGGGATCAGTCCCTGGAGAAGGACATCATGCTTGCTAAAGTAGAGGGTCAGAGAAAAAGAGAAAGACCCTCAACAAGATGGACTGACAATGGCTGCAACAGTGGGCTCATGCATAGCAACAGTTGTGAGGATGGCACAGGACTGGGCAGGGTTTTGTTCTCGTGTGCACAGGGTCTCTATGAGTTGGAACCGACTCGACGGCACCTAACAACAACAACAACACAATTTCCTAGTGACCATCTACAAGGCCTTGTGTAATCTGGACCCAGTTACCTCTGGTATCTCATCTTGTACCATATTCTGCCTCAACTTCTACACCCTGGCCACATTAGACATCTTTCGGTTCCACCAACTGGTTATTCTTCCTGATTCAAAGCCTAGGTCTCAGCCTAGAAGGCTTACCCCTCTCTCCTTTCAGCTAGCCTAATTCCTACTAATTTTTTCAGATTTACTCTTATATATTAGTTTCTTGATCATCCCTCCTCCCCCAACACACATCTAAATAAGGTTAGATTGCTCTGCAATACCCTCTTATAATGTCCTATTTGGTTTTCTAAATATCACTCATTGTAGTTATTTGTATAATTGTTTAATGCCAACCTTTCTTCTACTGTATCACAAGTAGAGTGCTTTGCAGATTCTAACCTGTCATGAGCTGTAGAAGCCAAATAATTTTGTTAGAACTGATTATGAGGTATGAGTAAGTAGGCTATGATAATGGACTTAAGGGCTTCCCTTCTGAGTAAAGCTTCACTGACTTGGGTTAATGGATCTATGGTGTATTTGTTTACTTCCTGGTTCCTGGCTGAATTAAAAATAGCTTAGTTGCTGGATAGCAGACATCTGGAATGGTGCTACTATATTATTTCTTTCAAAAAAGATACTATTTCATGAGCTCTCAAAATTATTTTCCCCATAATGTGTGAAGGGTTGCCAACTGCAAAAAATATGTATGTGTATACCTCACCCCCCTACACACATGGAATAGCCACAAGCATAATATCTGTATCATGTAAGCAGGTCTTACCTTAACAGCTCGCTGTGCTGCTTTATTAGCTGTTCATTTTGCTGCTTTAACTTAGACATTTCATTTTCTAGTTTCATGTGTTCACTTTTCAAAATAAGAACTTTTGTGCTTTGTACAATGCCACTGCCACCTCCACAGGTTATGGCCTTATTTAAAGGCTGAGAATCCACATTTTCTGATACCACTGTGGGAGGCAAATATACAAGTAAGTGATACTTTTAATTGTCTCCAAAGTTCAAAATGAAAGAAATATTACTAAATGTAACAGGCTACTATAAAACCCAAAACATCTCAACTACCATCTCCCTCAGCGTCATCCTTGATTACTTCATCTCCCTCACCTCCCATGCATAATTGATCGTCAATTCTAAATATCTCTAGAATCCATCTGCTTCTCTCCACCCCCAATTCTACTACCATAATCCAGGTCACTAAGAGCTTTCACCGTGACTGCACCAAAACCAACCCTCCTAGTTAAGGCAGGCCTTCAGTGATCTATCCTCTACACCCCGGAGTAGGGGGCAGGGAGGGTTCCCATCCCCAGAGACATTCAGAGCATTATAAGTACTCAACATACACTTGTTAACTAAAGAAGCCTTAGAATGATACTAAAGCATACGTTAGCTGTACACCAATGTTCACTGCAGCACTGTTCATAATAGTCAAAAGGTGGAGACAGCTGAATGTTCATCAACAGATGAATGGATAAAAAAAAAGTGGCATAGGCATACAATGGAGTATTACTCTGCCATAAAAAGATACGAAGTCTTGATACATGCTACAACATGCATGAATGTTGAAAACATGCTGAATGAAATACGTCCATTACAAAAGGGCAGATATTATATGATCCCACTTATATGAAATAGACAAACGTATAGAGATCAAAGTTTGTTAGTAGTTACCAGGGGTGGGAGACGGGGAAAAGTAGTCTTTGCTTAGGGGCACAGCATTTCTGTTAATGGTGATGGAATTATTTGGAAATGGATAGTAGTGATGGTTGCACATGATTAATGGAATCGGTATCACTGAATGGTACGTGTAAAACTGCTGAGTTGGCAAATGTCTTGTTACATAACTTTTCACACAAAAAAAGCATGTACTAAGTATGCTACACTATGTGTGTAAAAATAATGTAAGGGACTGTGTTTTATAAACTGGAGGTAATGTTGCATAAAAATGTGAGGTGCTTGTAAAGTGAAATCCACTAGGTCATGAAGTTCCTGGTAATTCAAGAAAGAAGTGTAGGGCAGGGATGGGGGAGATATTTGAATTCCGAATTCAGGTCCAACATATACCTGAAGATCACTTAAAAATCAAGGGTAATTATCCTAACCCTTCTATAACAACGAAGAATCCTCAGTTCTATTTTTAGCCCTTGAAGATTTACAGGTAGGAGGTGGGATTATCCTGCAACAGACACTAGGGAAATTCAAGTTACAATTGGTTCTACGCAACATCTTCAACCTTCGCTCTACTTTTTTTTTAAAAGAAGTAGACAGTAATACATGCAAATATCATTGTACATCTACTTGGCAATTAGAATTTTCATGGTGCTTTCAACACACATCTTTGGTTTTATTCTTATAAGTACATAAGTTAGAAGGTCAGATGTTGTCAACTGGATTCCACATAGCCATGAAGTGAGGGCCAGCCTAAAGCTCAGGCCCCCGACTTTAGTTCAGTGCTTGTTCTACTACACAAAGCTGTTCGTCAGATTGTCCAATATTCTCTCTTTTCTAATGAAACATGAGAGATAGAAAGATGGACAAAAGTACAGTTTGAAGAATGTATATGCAGAAATTTGACCATTAGACCTAAAAATTGTACTAAGATCAATTTCAAAAAGTTGTGCAAACAAGCATCAACTTAATATTTTCAGTAATAAGAACAATTAGAATATATGTTTATTTATTTTGACTGTGTATGGATTATAATTTAGTAGTTGCCTACAGTTAAAATCTATTAAGAAACGTGTTTGTACTTTTATTGGGAAGGGTACTTTTATCTTGACAGTTAAGTCTTTCTTTTTAAGCAAGAAGATATCTTCAATTAATATGTAAAGATCTGATAATGCAAATGTAAAATTCATATTTTTCAAGAATCTATAATGGATAAACAATTGAGATTATAGCAAACTAAGGAGATGCCACAGGATAAACATGATCCCACTGAATTCATTGAAAAAAAAAAAAAAATTCTTTCCAAATTTCTGGTTAACTCAGGTTTACTCTTGACTGTCACGTATATAACAGCAATCTTCACAATGTAAAAATGCATTGAGATGCAAAACGGAAAGATCTAAAAATATTTGCATTTTCTACTTACTTGAGGTTTCTTGGGCCTGTTGGTTTCTTCTAAGATTTTCTTTTAATAGCCTTATAACTTCTTTTTGATATTCGACAGTGGCTTTTGTAATAGTAATTCTAATAAGAACAACAATAAAAATATGTAAAAGCCCAACAACTAATTTTTTAGGGAAGACTTAACAGAACTGCTTTTGACAGTTTTCTACTAAGACACGTCACATTGGCATATTATCCATAAGTGGCAGTAGATAAGGCCTCAGGGGCAAGGTACCCCAGTAGTGTGCCCTTTTTAGCAGTAACACCATGAAATCACAAGTATTCTGTTTGATCTCAGGGACAGTTCAATTTTCTTAACATTGAGAAACCAGTTCTTTTTAAATTTCTGAAGGCTCAACAGCTAACCATTGGATACTAAGCAAAACTGTATTTGGAGGCATCATGAAGAAAGTAATTGAGCTGTTACCATGGGGTCCTACCAACATGCTGAAGAGACAACAATTACCAGAGCATCAAAGAGAAAAACAGCCTCCTTTCTACACTGTCAGGAAAGCAAACCCCGACTGCAGCTCTGGTCTAAATTGATACAGTCAGAGGTCAGATTCTGATCAGTAGTTTACACTTCAGTCAGCAATGATAACTTGTAAGACTTTCTGCCTTTCTTAGAGACTGTGAAAGTATCTGCTGACTCTCCTCTATAAATAAAATTGTTTTTTTTATGAGTAAGAACTTAATAGGTATAAGTTTCACTACAGACAACAGTCTTATCAACAGAAGGATGGCTAGACAGCATGAAGATGCACAGTGCTGCTTTTTCTTTACCTTGAGTGGCATTAGCTAAAAGTTGGGTTTTAGCTGGAACATATATTTAAAGATTTATTACATATGTTAGATGGGTGACAACTGGCTTCCAAGTTTGGCAGAATTAGATGTCATTATTAAATATTAAATATCTATTAAAGACTAATAAGAAGAATATAGGAGCCAGAAGGGATTTTAAAACCCAACCTGTTGCTGTCAAGTTGATTCCGACTCATAGTGACCTTATAGGACACAGGAGAACTGCCCCACAGGGTTTCCAAGCTTCCAGGCTTTACGGAAGCTGACTGACACATCTTTCTCCCACCGAGCGTCTGGTGGGTTTGAACTGCAGACCTCGACTCGACAACAATGAGAAGGGAACTTAGGAAATCTAATACAAACCTGTGCTTTAACTGATTATGAATGTGAGGATCAAAGATATCAGACAGCTTGCTTATGGTGATGTATAATAAGTGGCAACAGTATATTGTTAACTCACTTTCTTTGACTTTCCCTTTAACATTCTTTTCATTATATCACAAAGAATATATACCACAAAGAATACATACCACAAACAATTTCAGGCATGCTATTATGTACAATACTATGTATAAATAAATAAATAAGAGGATATGGTTCTGGGATCTAGGTACCTATAATCTAAAGGACATACAATCTTGACACGAAAACATAAGAGGAAGAATGAGTGAAATTAAGAAAAACAATGCAAACCTTAGTCACAGTGCTAAATACACACATAGGTTTTTAACATTCACTTGTAAGCATAAAAAGGCCATTTTAAAGCTGTATGACTGGCAAGTAGCATCCAGACACATCCTGTGTTATTAACTGGGCAGAACTGTGCTTATTTTGAAAACTTTGTTTATGTAATAAGAATTTAATGAACTTAAAATATGTAGATTATATATTTTAAAATGCAATAACAATTTTATTTTTAAAATTGTAACTACGGGAAAGAGACTTATATAGTTTAAAAGGAAATTTTAAGCTATGAAAGTTAAATTTAGGCAAAGACATACTCCTTTTCAAACTCCTTGGCATTTTTCATCTTCTCTAGGTCTATTTTCACGAGCTTTGTTTTGAGATCTTCAATTTCTTCTTTATAGGGCTCAGCTCCTAAAGCAACTTTTTCCTGTTTTTAGAGAGAAAAGGAAAATTACTAATTATTAAAATAGTTTCAATTCCAGCAAAGAGTGGATAACTGCCTTTGATCCAGTAGGAACATTTTAAAATAGCAAGCAACTCCAAATATATCAAACACAGGAAAGGCATCAATTCTGATACTAAAATGAATAACAACTAGATATTTGATGTGAAATATATTTAAAGCTAATACAGAGAGAATACTATTTTTATATCTTCTAGCAAATATTATTTTTTCCATTTAAAAAGTGATAAACCCAAAAAAAATGACACAGAAATGATGAAATAAGTGAGCAAAGGTAAATCAGGAAAATGAAACAAAAAGATGCCAGAGCAACAAAATAAATATCAAACTGGAATTGAATTCAAGTCATAAAGCATCACATAACATTATCAGGGATGTTTTGTACTAAAAGACAGTTCAATTCAGTGATACAGGCATTTTCTTTGACTACTATGTAGTAAAAGAAAGAAATTAGCCATACATAACACTGTTCAGCCAGAATGCTCCTTAGAAGCAAGGATGGTGAGAATTCATCTCACATACTTTGGACATGTTATCAGGAGGGATCAGTCCCTGGAGAAGGACATCATGCTTGGTAAAGTACAGGGTCAACGAAAAAGAGGAAGACCCGCAACGAGATGGACTGACACGGTGTGTGCAATAAGGGGCTCAAGCATAACAATGATTGTGAGGATGGTGCAGAACCAGGCAGTGTTTCGTTCTGCTGTGCATGGGGTCGCTGAGTCGGAACCGCCTCAAAGGCACCTAACAACAACAACAACACTGTTTAAAATAATTCTTGTGCCAGATAAATCAAATTTGGAAATACTGATTTAGAAATGATAGATAATGAGAACTCTGCATTTCAGACATATGGCATGTGACCACAGCTACACTCACAGAATACTGATAGCCTTCAATATTTTTATTAATAAACTGAAAAGACCAAAAAATAAAGTTCTTAGTTAATAGCATTGGTTTATTCCTCCAGATTATTTTCACTGCTCCATTAGGGGAAAAAAAAAACAGTCCTTTGAGATTCTGATTTGAATTACATTAAATTTAGAAATTAATCTGGGAAAACCTGACAGTTGCACAGTATTTCTCATACGGCACACAACAACAACAACGAGCACAGTATTTAGGTTCCCACCTGGGAAATGGCATGTGTCTTAATTTTAAATCACATGTTCTATTTCTTTTTACAGTTTTATGATTCTTTTCATATGTCGTTGTTGTTAGGTGTCACTGAGTCAGTTCCGACTCATAGCGACCCCATGTACAACAGAATGAAACACTGCTGGGTCCTGCGCCATCCTCACAATTGTTGCTATGTTTCAGCCCATTGTTGCAGGTACTGTGTCATTCCATCTGGTTGAGGGTCTTCCTCTTTTTCACTGACGCTCCAGCTTACCAAGCATGATGTCCTTCTCCAGGGACTGATCCCTCCTGATAACACGCCCAAAGTATGTGAGATGAAGTCTCATCATCCTCTTTTCATAATATGCTACCCTGATTTTTTATGAAGGTTAGTCATTCGAGCATTTTATTTTAGATTTTGTGGTTATCATAAGATCTTTTTTTCTCCTATCATACAGGGTGTCCATAAAGTTCCAGAAGAGTTTAAATTTTTAACAAATTCACTGCTATTTGATATAAACAATTTGTAGAGATAAAACAGAGGAAATTTATTCAGAATTTAAAACAAAATTGTTAATGACTCTTTCGTTCAAATTTCTTTTGTTTTCAGTTAATAAACCCTACACTATACCAGATAGCTATATCCAGATATATTCAAGTAGTGGTGAATAGGCTGAAAGTTAATATCCCTGCAATTAGGTAAATCTTAAGTTAAATTAACTCTGTTGAGCTTTTCTAGATTATTTATGACATATAAAAGCAAACTTCAAAATTTCAAACAGTATAAAGATTTTGGATACCCAGTATTTTTCTTTCTTTCCCCATGGTTGCAATACAAAGTCATACCCATTAAGTAGTTCTAAATGGTTACTTCTGGTATGCAGGAAAGGTATTTCTCTCTCTGTAGATACCTGTGTCAATCTATACCAAATATGGAAGAAATGTGTTGCTTACACTTTCTTTCTTGAACACTTTATGTTCCAGGACACCACTCTCTCTCTCCTGGTTCTCCTCCTACCTCACTGGCTGCTCTGTCTCAGTATCTTTAGCTTACTCCATAAAAATCAGTTGCTGTAGAGTCGATTCTGAATCATGGAGACCCCATGTACCTCTTCTCTATTTTGCTCATGCCTTAGGTGACCTCATCCTGTCTCATGACTTCTATCTGCTGATGATTACCCAAATTTATATCTCCAGTCTGGACCTCCCCCAGACTCATATATCCCTCCCCTTAAGTGGTATCTCCACTTAGGTGTCCAATAGGCATCTCAAATTTAACATGTCCAAAACTGAACTCTGATTCTGCTCCACTTCTTTCAAATCTGCTCGTTTGGCAATCTTGCCCAGCTCCATAAATGGCAACTCCATTCCTTCAGTTGCTCAGGCCCAAAACTCTGGAGTCATCTTTGGCTCCTTGTTTTGTTTCATACTACACATCAACTCTGTCAGCAAATTCTGCAGGCTAACCTTTTAAAACATACAGAGCCCCACTCCTTCCACTGCTACCACTCAGGCCCAAGCCGTCTCATCTTCAACCTGGATTACCACACTACTAAATGTTCTTCCTGCTTTTGCTCTCACTCCCCTGTGGCAAAGCCAGCCTGCTGTTTACCAAAATTCCTTCTCCCCTTTTTCCACAATAATATTTATAACTAGCTGGGGCCCTGGAACTAAGATCTCACAAAGAAATGTGAGAAGAAGAGATGTGTACCATCCCAGGGCCAGAGCCTCTAGAAGTGGAGATTTTAACACTATCTTAAGCTTTTTCTCCCGCCCCTTTCCTGTGAGCCTGAGCATGGACAGCTCATAAGTTGGCTTTAACCATGCAGACGAAAGCAGCACCCAAGAAGACAGTGGAGAAACAAGATGGAAGAAACGTGGGCCTCTGGGTGATCGTGTGGAGTACAGTCACCTGCCACCCTGTAACTCTGGGTTTATGGAAGGCCAAGAAATACGCTTCTGCCTTGTTTGAGCCCTTGCATTTCTGGTTCTCTTTGGTATAGCAGCTGGTGCATCACTACAACAACACACCCTCCTGGAGTCTATTTTCAAAGAGTAGCCTTTAAAAAATTGTCAGATCATAACACCCTTTTGCCAAAATCTTCCAATGGATCCTTATCTCACCCAGAATAAAAACCAAAATCCTTACAGTAGCCTATAAGACCCTTTATGATCTGGCTTTCTGCTACTTCTCACCTCATTTCCTACCTCTATCCCCCTGCTCACTCTGCTGAGAATACGCTGGATTTCTTCTTGTTTCTCAAAAATATTTCTAGGATATTTCTGTTTTGAGGCCTTCCCCACTACATAGCTCACACCATCACTTCTTTCATCTGCCCTGTATAAAAGCACATCTCTTTCCCCACACACCTCCATCTTCACTCAGCACTTGTATACCCCTTTCTGGTTTAATTTTTTCCATTACACTTTTCACCATGTGACATACATATTTATTTGTCTATTTTCTCTCTCTCCAAACCAGAATGTAAACTCCAAGAGGGAAGGGGAAGGGATTTTTTCTTCACTGCTGTACACTTGGTATCTAGAATAGATAGTAGGTGCTCAACAAATATTTACTGAATGAATAAAAATACGGTAATTAAATTACTTGTAATATTAAAAAATTATTCTAAAAAAGTCTGAAGTTTTACAGTGGTTTCCTTGATTTCTAGCTATACCAAAAATTGTTTAAAAACAAAATTGTTATTTTTCTGTTTGCCTCTCTGTTTTATGTCTCATTGAACTGACCAGAATTTTAGAACAATGTTACATAGTAAAAAGAGCAAGAATCTTGACTTGTGGTTAATTTTAACTGGAATGAAGAGACATGAGAGCAGAAAAGCAAACTTAAATGCCTATTAGGGCCAGACTCAAGTAGTAGAAATGTGAGAAGTATTTGAGGTTAAAACAAAAGAGAATGTTGGGGATATGATGAATGAGGATGTGGCTTCTCTAACAGCTTTAAATTAAAATAACATTCAAACTACTGTTCTTTCCAAAGAAAACAGGTCAATATTTAGCCCACTGGTCACCAGGTAGGAGTCAGTAACAGGGGCCAAACAAACAAAAACACAAAAGCAACTGAACTAATTGCTGCCCAGTCAATTCTGACTCATAGTGACCCTACAGGACAGAGCAGAACTGCGCTGTAGGGTTTCCAAGGAGTGGCTGGTGGATTTGAACTGCTGACCTTTTGGTTAGCAGCCAAACGATTAACCAGTGTGCCACCAGGGCCCCTGAGTAACAGGGGCACTACAAAGAAAAATAATTTTAAAATACATTTATCTAATAAAGAGTGTTATATATTTAGATAAGAAGCACTTTTTAAAACATGAAAAAATATTTCTAAACTATAAAAATAACTTGTGTGTTTTAAAAATTATTTTCTAGGAAGATAATAATAAGCATTACTTTGCATGAAAATACACTTGCATTTCACTTCTAAGTTAAGTTGTTTTCTTTTTTCTGCTTTACACTTGAGTACTGAACTTAATACGCAGGCAATAGGAACTTGCGGTAAAGGGAAGAATACAGTGCCAAAATATCCTCCACATTCAACAGTAAAATAAAAGGCAAAAAGTAACTCTTACTTATAAAATGAGTTAAGTTACCTGGAGTACTTGGATAGTTTCTTTTGTTTTTTCAAGGCATTTATTTGATTCATTAACTTTGGCTTGAAGTTTTGCTATCATGCCATTGGTCATCTCAAGTTCTTTCTGCATCTCCGTAATCTTGCTTTCTTTATGCTTAGCACTTTCTTTAGCTTCACGTAGTGAAATTTCTAGCTCTTGAACTTTCTGTTAGAAAAAGTACATGAAGTCCAGCATGAATACAGAATCACTGTATAGAAGTTTGAGACAAAGGTGATCATATTTCTCTGTTGTTAATTTTTCATAGGTTGCATTAACAAAGGAAAGAAATCAAATGTCACATAGTCTACGGATATGTTTTTTTTTTTTCATTTAGAAGTTGATTTTTGGATTAAAAAAATGTCAAAATTTACAAGATAGGGTTTAGTGTTTATGTTATTTACTGTTTAGTAGAGATCTGAGCATATTAAATAGGCACTCACATTAGAAATTAACACTACTTGAAGTGTATCTGTTAATTGACTGTCCAAAATAATAGATGCAATGTTATCTTTCTCTTTACTAGTTAGTTTTTAAACTGGGAAATACATATATATGGAAGAAAATTCAAAGGCAAGTAATGAAGATTAACTCTCACTACCTCAGACCCACAGGTGACCCTGAGGCAGTAACTACTAACTTTTATAAGTGTATCCTTCAAGAAATTTTCTATGTGTATGTAAGCATATGTGAATATAGTTTATAAAGTCACTTATACTATCCACACAATGAACACACTGCATATATACTTCTGCTTTTTTTTTTTTTAAAAAACTTGACACTATGTTTTCCAGATCTTTCCATATCAATACATATAGACCTCTCATATTTTTGTTCTCATGGATACACAGCATCCCATTTCATGGAGGTACCATAATTTACTTAACCAGTCACCTACTGATGCACGTTAGGTTGTGTCCAGCTTTCTGCAAGTACAAATTAACTTAGGATAAATTTAAATGCTTAATTTGTCCATGTTTATAAGATAAATCACACAAACGTTAACTTTTTCCTTTGAATTGTCTGTTTCTTTTTGGTCCACCTGGAATTTATTTCTGGTTACTAAGTGAGGTAGGAATCCAGCTTTATTTTATTTTTTTTCAGATGGTTAGCCAGTTGTTACAAATCATACATCAAATAAACCAACTTTTCCCCATTGAGTTGAATGTTTCCATCATCATATGGTAACTGCTCATACTTATTTGTATACACTTCTGAATTCTTTCTTCTGTTCCCCCTGCTCTACCTGTCCATCCTGCATCAGTACAAACTACTTTAATTCTAGTCGCAGGTGTCTTATCATCTGATGGGCCATTTCCTAGGGCCGCTGACGATGGAATTTCCTTCTGTTTCTTTGTCTTATTGCTTTGGTAGATGGTTGCCATTTTTCTTCTCTTTTAATTCTACCAGCTGACTGAAGTCGGTAGTGATCAGCAAATCAAAGAACAGTATATTAGTGATCTTCTACATTCCACTAATGATTAATTATTAAACTAGTGGTCGACGCTTTATTACAAGCATTTGTTTTGGTAAAAATAATCAATTATAATTACTCTTCGGTTCCCCAGTAAGTGATTTTGAAATGGCAACAAAATAAAATAGCATATTTGCTCATGTTTATAGACTCCAAACTAAGGGTAATTAAAAAAGTAATTGGATTAGTCAATTAATGTATTGATTCTTATATACTTGTGGTAATATAGCAGGTTAATCCGTATAAGAACCCTGTTTTATTTTTAGCTTCTTACATTTTTATTATGATTATACTATTGACCAACATTAAACTGTGTTGTATGAATTTATTAATCAAATTAAGCTATAAATGACTCTGGCTTCATAATTCAAAGGAAAGATCTTATAACAACGTTTAGTTTTATAATTAGTTTGAGTGACAGTCACAATCAAACTACATTTAAAAAACAAGTCCATCTCAGAAACAAAGACTATGTCCATATTCCTTCAACATTGTAATTTTGCCATGAAATGTTATAAAGATGCATTTTAATTCTCTGATGAAGATGTAAACTTAAAACATCTTATAACAAATTACATACCTCTCTGGTTAGTTGTGTAGTTCTCGAAGTAACATGATGATTTTTATTGTCTTTTGTAGTAGAATTAACAGCATCTCCAGATGTCAGGGAGGCCTTCAAAGTTTGGTAGTTTTTAAACATTTTTTCACTTTCCTCTTTCACTGATCTCAAGTCATGTTCCCATTCTTTGGATATGGCAGCACTTCTTTCCTCAAACTCTGTTGATTCATTCATTATGGCCTATTGAATTTTAAAGCACTGATTATAGCTCTAGAATGAATTACATATATTAAAAATAACTAAGAAAAATACTCAATTCTCCAAGAAAGTTTATGTGGAAATTTATTATTCAAAAATTCTAGAATAATACACATCAGGGTTGTGAGGACGGCGCAGGACTGGGCAGTGTTTTGTTCCGTTGTACACAGGGTCACTATGAGTCAGAACTGACTCGACAGCACCTGACAGCAACAACAACGTGGAAGGGATACTTCAGAAAGCAGAAATGAACATTCTCACCACTGGGAAATAAAACACATTAACAAACTGATCTCATGCAACTGGCCTTAAGCGAGACTGATCACCTTAGGAACAATGATAAGAATCACATTTTCGAGCCTCAAAGTTGGAGGATAATACTGATAGTGAAAAGTCCATGAGACACTACTAACATAACTGCCAGGTGTCAGGCCTTACTACACAGCTGCTGCCTGTAGCCCTGAAACAGGCTCATGTCTCACCTTGTCTAAGGCACTTGGGGAAGAGGATGGATTCCTACAGAAGCAGCAAGAGGGGAAGAGAAGACTGTCAAGAGGATTCAAAATTTAACAAGTGGACACTGAATAGCATACACCAAGATTTTGTTACTTTCTTTATAAATATAAATTGATATATATCTAATCATCTTATTGAAGCATGCTGAGAGGAAGAACAGGTTTTACAATCTTTTTCATAAAGCACATAGGAATAAATTAAATTGGAAAATTAATTTGCTCTAAGAATGAGGTAGAAAAATTAAAACAACGACAATAACAATAAAAATGAGGCAGCACAATAAAAATTACTACTTACAATTATTTTGTTATTATAGAAGTTATTCACTTGACAAATCCTATCATTTTCTTTCTGGATGTCATTTTTAAGCTTTTCTATATCAAAATGAGTATTCAACCAGTCTTCCAAAATCTGGGTCATTTCTTTCCTCTTATCTAGTACTTGCTGAAATTCAGTCTTTATGCTGAGGAAGTCACTTTCTGAAAAATCTCTGAGAATTTCCTGTGTGAAAATGGCACCAAATCGCTTGATTATCAGGAAAGTTTTTACCAAAATATTATATAAATACCATTAAAAAAGGGAAAATACCTAACTGAATCTTTATTCTTCTTAATATTTTCAGATAAACTAAATATATATATAATTCTAATTTGAAACTTAATTCTTGTTACATGCATAAAAAAATTTTGGCAGTATAGGCTATGTGACAGAGGTATGGCTAAATTTCCTACCTGTTAGAAATAAAACCTATCAAAATGATAAGTTTGTGACTAATAGGTAAAACATTTGAAGTGTTTCTGGATGTGGCTTTTCTGTGCATAAAGCAGGCCTTCCATGCAGGTTGGGACCCGGCTGCCAGCCGCACATTGCTGAGGGAGCAAGATGCTCCAGGTAGAGTTGTTGCAACAACAAAGGTTTTGACTCCCAGTCATAGATGTAGCAAGTCTTAGAAGGCATTTGGAAAATTATTTTGGGGTTCCATACATTCCCACCCACTAATGTTAAATCAGTTATTCTGTATCTGTGGAGGCCTGAAAGGAGGCTAGTCCATTTATATCTTGGCACTCTTTATATCTGGCCAATAGGTACTCTGAAACCTATTTTTAAATTCTGGTAGATGAAAATGGCTCTAAACAACATGAAAAGGTACTTTTCTGCTTGATGAAAAGGCCTAAAATCTATAGAAATCCATTTAAAATAAATACCTCAATATGGAGATCCATACTCTGGTTCAATCTGAGGTCCCTTAATTCGTTGGATGGTATGTCACAATCTTGTCGAAGGTGCTGTATTTTAATTAGCAGTTCATTTTGCTTTTCCACTTCATCAATAAAATCCATTTCAAATTTATTGATGGATTCATGGTGTTCTTCCTTTATCTTTGTAACAAGGCTTAACACATACTTGCAGAAAAAAGTTAAACAAATTGGGAAATGAAACTTTTTATCACATTTAGAGGATGTTTAAACTCCTGGGATGTGAGGTGGGATGGATCTCTTTTTCAGCTATATCCTCTGATATGAGGGAAGAAGGAAGGAGCCTCTGTCCCCAACTTTCTTCTCTTGGCATCTAGTTCCATATTTCTGACTTCCTACTGGATACACCTCCTGAATGCCCTACAAGTACCTCAAACTCAGTATGTTCGAAACATAACACGATCCATTTAACTACTAACTCACCTTTTTCTATTGGTCCTTTTTTAGTTAATGGTAATGCCTATCATCCAGGTTTTCCAGCTAGATACCTGAGATTTATTTTCAATATCCTCTCCTGCCCACCTTGATTGAGCTAACCAGTAAGATGAGTGTGACATGCCTCAAGTCTCTCTGGGCTTCAAGGTGACAATAATTTGAATGCCCTAAGTTCCATGGATCTCATGAATAAGTTGTGGACATCTGAGAGGCATAATCTGTGGAAGGACATCAGGGACCGAGAGGCAGTTTATCTAGATAGGGCAGATACCCGCTGTCTACTTCTTCAGTTTCCACCATTCCTCAATTTCTTATAGTCCGGCCTCTTCACTCACCACTCAACTAGAACTGTTCTGACAAAGGTCACCAATGCGCTCTATTATCACCAAATTGAGGAGACATTTTCAATCCATATTCTGGCTGTTCACAACATCTGCTACTCTTGTCCACTTCATCTTTGACAAACCTTCTCTCCTCCACTGACGAGCGACACCCCTTTTGTTGGTACTCTCTTTGACCTTTCCAACCTCAAACCCATGTGCTGCCCCCTTTTCTGCTAATGACTCTTGAATATTTATTTTTTCCAGAGTTTTCTTCTTGTCCTAAGGCTTTATTCTTCTATTATGCTTTCTGGGTGACCTTACCCGTGTTGTATTATCTATCATTTAAATGCTGTTGAAGCCCTGGTGGCAAAGTGGTTAAGAGGTCAGCTGCTAACCAAAAGGTCGGCAGTTTGAATCCACCAGCTGCTCCTTGGAAACCCTATGGGGCAGTTCTACTCTGTCCTATAGGGTC